TCAAGGCTCACATGTAGCTGGAAAGGAATTCAAGAGAGAGGATGAGAGACTTACAGGATGAACTGTCTCAAAGAGTAGATAATTGGGACGCCAAGTGGAAAGGGCAGGCAGAGCTGTAAGATGAATACATCTGGTAAGAGGAATCCTATTCTGTGTTTATACTACAATCTCCAGTACCTCATTTCTTGTCCTCCTCCTCCTGTTACTGTTAACTTCAGGGGCAAGCACACAAGCCCTTTTACAGCTCACAGTTTGAGCACAGGATTGTTTCAGCTTCCACTACACACACAGCAATAGCAGCTCAGAGTTTGAGCACAGGATTGCTTCAGCTTCCACTACACACACAGCAATATGACATGGAGAAGTTGAGGAGAGGCTGCAGCATTGATTTAACTCACTCCTTCCAGCTAGAGGTGAGGAGGGAAGAGGATTAAAGTCCCAGATATTCACACCCATAACAAAAACATTAGGCATTTCCCAAGCAGCCTTTCAGATTCTCTGAGCCACAGCAGTGTCTCCAATGCCTCCCCAAAAACAGAATTGGAAAAAAAATACGTTTTTTTCTTCCAATATAGTCCCATTTTTGTCTTGAGAACTGCAACCACCCACTCTCAATCCTCAACTTCTTGCTTTGCCCGTTTAACACCTGTACACTCATAGCAGTTGATCACAGAGACAGTAAGAAAAGACACACCAAGTGGTCACCAGGAGCAGAGACATAACGATCCAGATCATAAACCTGCTTGCTTGACATCTTGACATGCTCTTAAGCATTGGTGATTTACTTAATCAGGTGACACAAAGAAGCAAATTAAGCCCGTGGCTATTAGAAACAATGACTGCTTTTCAGTAGGCATAGTGATTTTGTCCAGGTTGGCTGAATCCATTCACTGTCTCTGTGACTTCCCTCCAGTTCTATATTGCAGTCACACCCTCTCATACACACATGACTCTCACTTTGTTTCTGTAAGGCCTTTTTAATAAAATTAATACTATTGCAAACTCATTCCTTGACTCTGCCAAGCAAATGCCATGACCCTACTCATTAAATCCATAGAGCCATTCATGCCCAGAATAGCAAATTCACCATCTATAACAATACAAAAATAAAATCCTAAGGTATCCCAACATTTGGAGAGTTATTTAAAGTTTTAGTTTCTTCTAATAAGAACATAAATCAAAACTAGAACCACAGGGTAAGATGCTAAATGCTTCGTTATTGATGAAGGCACTCCTAGAATATTTTACTAATGGCTCAGACTTGATGAATATTTGAAAAAATCCTATTGATTTTGCTTAAAAAAACATGTAAGAAGAGCTCAACATGCTGGCAGCAGAAATATATTATGAAGTGAAAACTGGCAGTTAAACAGGGAAGACAGAGAGCCAGAGCCAAATTAGGAAGCCCTTGTCAATCTCACTGAAGCAGCAGCAGCACTGGGGCAGTCAGGGCCAGGCTATGGTACCACACTCCTGTGGACTGAAGACAGCAGTTCCCAAGACAGGAAATATTCAGCTCCAAAAGCTGGAAACCCTTTTGTACCAGGACTCTCCCCATGAACAACACTCATTAAAATGAGGCAAATCTTTCAATCTGCGTCACGGATATATTTTAAGTGGTAAATCACAGACAAGCAGATTTTCTGGCCAGAGTAGCATGAAATTCCTATTAACTATAGTTTGCCTCAGCTGGGAACTCAGTACTAACTCTTCTACTAGTCTTGGAAACATTGTATACACACTTTTTCTCTCACCCTAAACAACCTTTAATGTTGAGACATCATGACTTGACAGTAATTAAGATCACAGGATATTTACTTCTAAAAAAAAATACATTTCTCTGTGATTACCGAGCAATTCTGAAGTCTGGTATCTCTGGAACATGCTTATCCATAAGAACAAGGAAGTTAAAATGAGTATTTCCCTAGGTTCCCATGGGAACACACCACTTCCTTCCAGATCTGGATAGTTTCAAGATACTGGGTTCAACACTTATGAAAACATATCCTAAAAAGCTATTCCTAGATGTTTCAGTGGCTTCCCAGTTACTCTGGGTTGGAAGTAAAGGCTCAAGGAGCAGATAGCCATTAAAGCACAAGTGAACATGAGCATGCAAGTGAGGCTGAGCACCTAGGAAAACCACTGGGAAGTAGCCAGAGGAGTCTGAATGTTTGAGAAGATGTCTCAACTGTTTAGGAATGGAATGGGGTGACACTCATCAGTGGTTACTGCCGAATGTGGTCACAGCTTTATGCACTCTTCACACTGTGTTTTCCAGGAACACCTATCTGGGGCCTGCCATGGTTCTGTCTGCCATCCAGCCACTCACAACTCCAACCAAACACACCTGGTAACCAGCCTGGAAGTGAAAGAGCTTCTGTAGTTCAGTACAAGTTATGGGGAGAAGCTTGTCACTAATTTGAGATAAAGAAATTCTGCCTTTCTTTCTGATGCATTGGGAAAGATGAGAGAAATTCCAGGAAACAAAGGTCTAGTTAAACCTGGGGAAGTGCTGCATTAATGGTCAGACTTGATGGTCTTTAGAAGTCTTTTCCAGCCTGAATGATTGTGTAATTCTGTATTTGCTCCAGAAGAATAAAAGCACTGAGAGAAGTTGCAGACATAAATTGAGATCTCTCCAGTCTTTAGTAACACTATTCACACACTGTGCAGATTCCTGGCTGTGTACAGCTGCATTCCTTCTCTCCTTATGCTCTTCATGTCCATCAGGACTTGCAGCCTAAACCAGAACTTGCTAATGTCCATGGGATGTTTTCTTTAGATTGTAATTTCATTACTTTTGAGTGATTAGAGTATGGAACACATCTTGTCTTCTCAGCATCACAGATCTGTGAGCAATAATTACAACAGACCAGTTGCAAGCTAACAAAAAAGCTGATGAAAATAGAATTCTCCTTTTGAAATTAAAAATATCAGGGTCTCTTACATGGAATAGCAAGAAAGCCATGGTGAGCATTAAACAAACAGATGAGATAAAAAATGTGTTAGACACTTATAACACTGTATACAAATGTACCCTATTAATAGAAAGATTTCTCAATTGCACTAATTTGTAAAGAAACAAATCCCTGAAGATGAAAGAAGGAGACTAATAGAATTATATCTACTGTGCTATTTTTAAAAAGTCAGAAAGATAAATAAAATGAGAACTTAATCTAGAAAACCACAGGGATAACATAAATTAGGCTTGTGGAAGAATATAGATTTGGACAATATGAGAAGCTGTGTTTCAATTAAAGTCTTTGATCATTCAAGATAAGTACACTGGAAAATGAAATTTTCTGCTTTATTTGATTTCTTTAGGAAATAAATCTCCTTCTCTGTTTCTACCCAAAGTACCAGAAAACCCATCCCAAAGAGAAACAACTAAGATCTCCCACTGTTCCCTTAATCAACACAAGCTTTTCTCCCAACCCTGAAACAAAAAATTCTTGTATCAGTTACTTCAGCCACACTGTACATTAAATATGCTGCTGCTACAGTGCTCTAACACTTCACTTTGCTTGTGGTATTTTCAACACTTCCTTTAAGCTCTTTATAAGAATATACAAATAAAGAAAACTGTCAGTTTACTGAACAATAAAACATAAACTCTATCCTCCCTCTAGACAAAACCTTCATTAATTTTGCATAGACTTCAGTTTCTTGTTGTATAGAAAACAAAAACAATCCTATAGATGTCTGGAAAGGTTCCTGCAATGAGAAACTTCAGGATATTTATTTCATTTCTTAGACTGAAAGTCAGATTGGAACTTGACCACTTCACATAATACCTTTTTTGCAAGGTGCAGACACAGCCATAAAATGCAGCATGTGGAGATTCAAGGCAAGTCGGGAATCAACACAACTTCTTTTAAGCAATAGAGGCAATCAGCTACCAAGGTAAGTTACCACTGAAAGTAGCAAGTCTACTAACACAGAGTCATTATGTCAAATTTTCATGTCTCTCTCCAAAAGATACACCCCCTAACACCAGCACAAACTCTTGACTTTACAGCATTCAGTCACTCAGAGCCGATCCCCTGCACTCCAGAACCAAAGCCCAAAGATGCAGGAGTTGCACACAGCCACAGCAAACCTAACAGCCATCAATCCACTCCTCTTCGGTGACAATTCCGTGAGTTTCTGAAGCAGTTGTTTTAACTCCTCCTCATGTTCTTCACTATGACGAGAGGAAAGCAAACCCACTACTAACATGTATGGGAATACCAGGATTACACACATGCAAACAAATTAAGACATTTTAGCATTCTCAAACCACTGTCTTTAGTCATTTTGAAAATCCCAAGAGAAGCAGTGGTGAGAAATAATCCAAGCAATTAAATTCTGTTGACTACATGAATGACGGAACAGGCTCTCGCTGCCCCCAGTGAGTTAAAATATCTTCAGCAACGACCTTTGATGGTGGAGCCCTCTGTCACCCATACAACTAGTCAGGATCAAATCAGTCAAAGCCCAGAAGCACATCAGCCTTCTACTCAGTCCATGGGAGACAGTTCAAGCAATACATGGATGGCAAAAGTAAATTTCCTAAGCCCTGTGATGGGCATTACAGTTAACGTTCCTTTAAGTTATGGATGGTCACCAACTGGGACACTGGACCAGAATAAGATAGGTACACCCACAGTCATGACTGTACTCTTCAAAGCACCTGTCAGGCAAACAATTATCTTCAGGGATCGTTTATTCTTCAAACTACTCAATTAGGCTGATATTTCAATCTTAACTTAAAATATTAGCACCTACATTTACTGTGTTCTGGAGAAAATTTGACTGAAAGAACAACCTGCATAGGAAAAATTGTGGTAAAATGGGTAGATCCTGAAATGGATTTCAAGAAAGCAAATTACAACACCAAATTCTTTTATCTTTCAAGCTGTGACAGTCTTCTCACTGTTGTATTTCAGGATTGGATTACCAGCTATAAAGAAAAAAAATAATTTTTTGGAGCACATTTATCAGACATTGATGTTTAGAATTTTTTTATTGAGAAATTAGCCACAACAAGTATCTTGCATCCTACAAGCTCTTTAAAAGTTTATGAAGATTTGGCATCAGTGGCAGATCCATTCACAGTGTGCAAGAAGGAAAATAAACAATCAGGAAACAGCAAGCACTGACTATTTTCAGTGCACGTTCTACCCCCAGAAAACAAAAGAACCATTTTTCTTGCGCTGTAGTTTGTCACCCTCCCAGTACAGACTCGTAGATATACACAGGAGGCACAGACAATCCCAATCCAATCTTAAAACATCTCAATCATTCAGTCTTTTTCCTTGACCCAACTTATCACTTATCTTCACAGCTCACAGCAGTTTCACCAGGATGCTCTGTCTTCAATTTTTTATGAGATGGCTCTCCCGGGAGAAGAGACGTGCAATGCTCTAAGGATCGAGCAATTTCATCAATTGTCCATTTGTCTTCATAAAGGACATGTTCCTCCAGCGTGAACGGCCCTTGTTTGGTTCGGGTCAGCTCTTGCATAGTGGCACAGGTGGAGAGTTCTACAGTAAAGCAGAGAAGAGGAATTGGAAAAAGGGCATGGATAAACTTTCAAAGTTTAACCGTTTTCAGCTCAGTTAAAACGCATTTTAAATGGAGCCTCCTACATTATTCTGCTCTGGTCGACAAGGAAGTTCATGAAGATTTATCACTCATTTATATCTTCTTGAAATCCTTTGATTTCAAAAAATCTCCAGTGTAGCAAAGAGTACAAAATCTGAAACTTGTCAAAAGTTTTCCCAGACTTAGATCATAATGAAAAGGGAAGAAATAATGTCATAAGATGTAAGCAGAACATTCTCCATTCACAAGTGACCACGAACTGGTTTTCCACAGATTTTGAGGTCTCAGCACTTCTTGCCTTCAAGAAGGATTTTTGTCATTTTTATCCTGTACTGCCTATCAGGGTAATATAAACTAACATAAAGGAAAAAAAAAATATACAAATGCTCTCCCATGTTAAATAAATACCAGCAGGACATAATTACACAGCAAGGGTGTACAAAACGTAACAGCAACGAGAGCTGACTTGTAAGTGCACAGGTATACTAAAATATTCTCTCCTATTCTTTCTGACGCAGGAAGATTTTTACTTCATTTTCAATTTTTATAAAAAAAACCAAGCCAGAGACAGACTTTATCCTGGTTTATCATTAAAAGGCTAAACATAAGCCAGTATGCTCAGAAGGCAGTAACAGAAAGCAAATCTTTGACTTGCCTAAGCACAAATAGCACCATTGAAATTCATAGGGTTATCCCACATTACTTGCTTTCTTGATCTGCAAATGTATCATTTTTTAAAAAAAAATGAAATGGATTATCTATTCTCCATCATACAGTTTGATACATACAGAGCACAAGACAAATAACCCTGTGGGAAAGCAAAACTATTCACAGTTCAAGCAAAAGAGAAAGAAAACACTAGAAAAATCATCACCACTGTAGAAGTCTTTCCAGCAGATAGGGTTTATTATGTGCATGGTAATGTTCTGTGCAATCTGTTTTCAAAGTGTGATGAATAATGTTTAAAAAGACAGTATCTTTCTTCTTCTTCTCATCCTTAATCTGAGTTAGCTTTAACACATGGAGGAGGGAAAAAACCCACCACCTTGCCTTGCATTATCTTGCTCAGTGCTTTTGCTTGCTCCATTTTTATCCCCAGCCCCCAAGGTCCTCTGGCAATTATTTAGCCATCATTCCCCCATCCTCCCAAGGAAATTACCTTAGTATATAAAAACAAGTGATAGCACTACAATTCTGCAAAACAACACATAGGTCTAGTTACTAGAGACATACAAAATGACAATTTTTTTCCCTAAGCAGACACACTCATTCCTTAAATTTTCCTGGATTTTTTCATGCCTACCTTTGCCAATGTCACTGACCAGGCTCCTGACATAAAAGCCACCACCACATTCAACATCTGGAATGTTAAAAGACACATGGTAAATTGTCAGGACAACGTGAAATCTACTTTACATAGAAACCATGTCCCCACATAAATGTAAAAATGCGCTAAGCAAACAACTCAGTGATAAAATATTTATAGGATGCAACATCAATTATTCATCTTGTAACATATGTGCGGGTGAGATTGCTAAGCTAGACAGGAGGGAAAGTAAATAAAATGGCAACTGAACCAACTCACTCGCATTTAAGTACTTGCTGTGGTATGTTAACAAATACTTAAGTCCTATTCATTTTTAAGCGTTTCAGAAGGTCGATTCATATTTCTCATGATGAAAGCAAGTTATTTCAAGTACAGCCTAAACTGACTATCAATGCCTTTAAGATACTGCAGACAGGCAGCAACAATAAAATTTAAAATTCACCTTTAAGTTTCCCTGCTCTCTCAGCCCTTCCCTTCCCTCTCTGCCAGTGATCTGTCACCCAACCATAAAGTAAGAGCTGAAGTAACACAGCACTGAGCTCTGTCACTCATACCTGCTCATCATGTAACATCTGGGCCATCAGAGGACTATGGATCAACTAGGTAGGCAGATCAATGTAAGACATTATCTTGACCTTGCAGTAGCATCAAACATTTACAACAGTCTTTTTGGTTTATTTATTAATGTGCTTCTTAATGTACTACCCAAGGTTCTTGATGTATGACAGAAGGAAGGATAAGATCCTGCCTCCTCAACCAAGAAAGAGGTCTGGCAGTAACTGATACAGGTCCCTGCTGCACCCTGGGAGAGATGCCAGCAGGTCTGGGCATCTGTGTAAAAGAGGGGGCAAAGTGAAGTAAGCAGATCTGGGAAAAGAGTGAGCTGGAGGTTGCAAAATCATGGACAGATGCAAATAATCCCCTGACCAGTCTCTCAGAATTTTCCCTCACAGAAAGATTAGATATAATCAGCTTAACTTAAAACCAAAATACGGTGCTTTTAATGCAAAGTGAAAGTCTCTGCACATGGGCTCACACCAAAGTAAGTAGCTGAGTGAAATGAAACCTATTTCACTATCTTATTCCCATTCTGAGTGTAAATAAACTTTGACAAGCTGAGAGCATCGCTCTGTGTAACAATCTTTGACCCTTACCCAGTGTGAACAGTGGTGGCTGGAACTGCTGGAGAGAAAGGCTGTACACTCTCACTGGCCGAGCAGGCTTTGCTTCCACTGCTTCTCCTCTCTTCATCAGAGTTGAAAGCCTTTCTCCATCCTTCTTCAAAGCAGAATAGCTGATCAGATAGAGCATGGAAATGTGTGTCATATGGCTGTAACAGAACAAGCTTCCCATTCTCCAGATCCTGTTAATATTGTACTACAGTAGCACACATTTTATTCCCCCCCAAATAAAAAAAAAACAAACCAAAACCCACCAAGTGCTTCTGAATCTCTTGCACACAGAATTATCTCGTTTACCCCTAGCTATATAAACTGGAAAACAAGAGATGGTACTGCATTTATCTCTTGCTGTACAGATTTAAAAGCGTTTCATTACACAATTTGCAGTTTATGAAATAAAAGGGTTCCTGTAAGGGTTACAGCACTTGCAGCTGCCTCTAACATCCTGTCTCAGAAGTCTGCAGGGCATACTCTGTTTCAGTGTTATGTTGAGCTGAGCACTGGGAGCTGCTCAGGCATCTCCTGTAATTCTGCATTGCACCTTTCCTCATCTCACACCAGGGTCTTTCCTGAACATCAACTGCCAAGTTATGTAGCCATTTTCTAGGGTGTTTAGGGAACCACTATAGAACCAAAAAAACCTGATTTCACTGATTACATGGAACCAACTTTGGTCTTGACAGAAAGATGACCACAGTAAAATCAAAATATATCTTGCTCAAATCAGTAGAAAGCAATTTGAAACAGGTCACATGAAGCAGAAGCCCACGGAGTTACTGACCTTACAGGGCTCACGTTGGAACCACAGTAACTGACACATGGCAAATGCAAAGGAAAGCATGTTAGCTTAAATCACCATAAAAGCCATCTGTCACAAGCTAAGTGCTTGCACACTGCCAGCTACTATGGCTCACCTGACTAGAAATTTGCTAAGCTACAGCTCAGTCGCTAATCACTCATTCACGCTCCGAGTTTTCAGAAAACTAATTCAAAGTCATTCAAGGCACTTCCACAGTGATGTCAGTAAGACTGGAAGACAGGATAGAAGCCATCGAGCCCTGCAAAACTGTAGGTCTGCTACTTTACATTTACTGAAAGCACCCACAGACTCTGGGTCACTATTTGTGCTCTGTATCCAAATGGGCATGACCCATTTGCTGTTGCAAATGTTAAACTACTGACTGCCTTGCCTCTATCCTCTTGCCAAAACGTGTCTTAATACTTCTGAGAGAACTGACTTCTACTGGCAAGTCCTGACAGGTGAACACAACTGTCAAGGGTGTCTAAATATTGTGGAACTTACAGTGGAGGAACTTGCATGATGTCCCCTGTGAACTTTTGCAGCACATTTTCAAGATCTCCTTTAGTGACCTGGTCTGTAGAAGGAAAACAGCAAGTATGTTGGTATTGATTATTCACATGAGAAAACAATAAGTATGTTGGTATTGATTATTCACATGGCACTAATGGCATCAATCACGTTCTGCTAACAGATACAAGTAAGAGTTCCCTCTCATCTGAATTTAGATGGGGTGAAAAACACCAAAGAAAGATGAAAACCAGAATGTAGGTAGGAGTGTGAATTACCACAGAGTGGAACAGACTGTCCAAGGTGATTAAGACAGTCTGGACCCTTTCAGAAGGGCAGAAATCCTCATATGCACCATCTTCTTTTGCAATTTCCCTCTCTTGAGGCTGCAAATTCATCTTTCTTGGGTACTATACAAAAACCACAGCATTTGGCATATACTGATTTTTGTTAAAGCACCATGAAGAATAAAATGCTCATCTAACCTTGGGAACTTCTCTTTAAGAGAACCTGACTGCGGGGGAAAATACAACAGATGATTAGAGAACAAAACCACTGTGGGTTGGTTTTTCTCTTTAGTGAAAAAGAAGACTGTATCTGGAACAACACATCAAATTTCCCTGTCAAACAACAAACCTGCAAATGCACACCAGGGTATAGTTATATATTAAGACAATTTTACTAAAGAAATCATGTAAAAGAAAGACAGCTGTTCTGGGCAATCTACTTTCTTTTAAGAGTACACATACACATCTGTCCCACTTTTATGAGAAGACAATAACCTAAGTAGCTGATTGCACTGGTCCTTTGAAGCTCTGTTCAATAGAGATGACATTCATCCCTAATTTGCTTAGAGAGTGCAAACGTAAGACCTGTGATCACAAAGCACTTCAGCACATTTCTACTGTCTAGGGCTTGACTAGTCCTGTTTCTCATAAGTTATAATCAATTAAGTGTCACCCTGCTAAGTCAACAGCATCCTGGAACATAAACCAACCAAATTAATTTATTGAGCCTTCATTATATTTTGGAACAGACCTTTACTTGCAAATCTTACTAACCAGATGTACTTCATGCTGTGAGTAAAAAAGATGAGATATCTTTTCATAAGCAGCTTTGGGAGAAGGTATTGTGGTATATCACTTTTGCAGAACACACTTTGCAGCCTCAAGAGTAGATGCTGTCCCCAGGCCCGAGCAGATGTCCCAAAAAGTGTTATTAACAGCAAGTTTATAAGGCATAAAGAACCAAACTCTGTCAGTGATGCTGAGAGAGCCCAGTTTACATCAGAATATGGGGTAGGATCAACAGAATCAATAGTATACTAAGTCTGAATCTTCTGAAGAGTTTCTTACACAATTATTTCAATTTTCTGTTCCTATTTAGCAACATATCACACCAAACTAGGTGGTGGAAAGTTAGCATGACCCAGCTGTATGACAATGATCCTATCAGCTTTCTTGTGCACCTCAGGTTGCTTCAGGCTAGAATTCAGTGGTTAAGGCCTAAGCATAAGTGTCACTTTGGGTTCTTTTCCAATTTTAACCCCACAAAATGCATTTGTGGGCATTTAATGAATCACCTGAGTTCAATTCTGGCTCTGACCTCATATTCCCCTGACAGAAAGGTTACATATAGCCTCTGAGGAAGTCACTCGTGATACAGACAACCTCTACCTCAGGAGAAAAAAAAAAAAAAAAAAAGACCCCATGTGAGGAATGATGCATTAAGCCATTAACAAACAAAAGTTGTGTGGTGTCTTATCAAAGTAAATATTTACAGAAGAGTTTGCTTCGATCTAGAATAAATCATATTTGTCATCTGCCATACACTGTGGCACGAGCTGGCTGGTAGTACATTTTGAAAGCCTAAACCCATCTGTTTTTCCTTTCTTGTTTTTTAAAGCATGCACTGCCTTTGTGTTAATGGATTGTACTCTCTGCACTGAGGCCTGATCCTGGATGCTGCTGGCACTGCAGGTTTGATATTTCCTAACAGATGCTCTGCTTCTCCCAGGATCCTTGCAGGTGTCCAAGGAAAACTGAAATTCAGCTCAAATATCTGGTGTGTCATTTCTTGGAGTATCTGTTAGGGTTAGAGATTAGGGATGCTTGGCCACCCAGAGTATCCTGCAGAAAACCAAGCTGCTTTGGAGAAGACACTGGAAAACATGGGAAATACCCATTTTTTTCGAAGAGTAGGAAGGAAATACAAAACACATAGCTACCATGAAGAATAAAAAAGGAGTATGCGTGTTCTCTCCTTTTCTTTCTGAAGAAATCAAATCTGACTGATTTGCACCAAGACCAATTTCATGAGCATTTCTTTCAGCTGTCAGTTTCAGCAAAAGGAAACTTTGTCCAGCACCCAAAAGTGCAAAGCCACAGCAATGCCAATACTGCTCTTCATGTGACTGCGAGATCAACTGGATCATGCAACTCATCTGTTTAAAATAACAAGCAACTGAAATAAAAAGGTGTATTTTTAACCCAAAGTCTAACAGAAAGCCAACCCACCCTAACAGAGGAGGTGGTGCAGAGGTGGGAACTACTATAGCAAGAGCTGCCAGTGAAAGAACCACACATGAAAACAACACTCTACATTCTGCCTGCAGTAAACAATACAAAATAAAAAAGGTAGAACTAGTGTTTCAAGAAACAGATTTTGATTTCTTTTTTAATGAACTGAACACAGGAGTTGCATCTACTGAAAATGGTATTTCACAGCTTACATGTGAGCAAGTATCTACAATGAATACTACTTAGCACAGCAGAACCACAACATTCCACCCTGAGAGGTACACACAAAACCCAAGAAAGTGTTCTCTCCAACCACCATGAGGTATTGGCAACTTTAACACTATGTGGACGCTCACTCCTTCAGAAACTTTGAGAGAGACTTGATCCTGAGGCAGAAGCATATGATCCAACATCTCTGAATAACATCACTTAGTAAGTAATACTATTTAGAATGATCCATCAAGTTCATGTGGACAAGAAGCTCATACTTGCCTGCCTCATGCAAAAAGAAAAACTGAAAAAGAAAGGAGATTGGGGGTGAGAAGTGAAATCCAGGCTGCCTTTTTCATCGTGCTATTAAAAAAAAAGATAATTTGCTTCATGTACCTATTACCAGGTACCACAGTGTAGGACCTGTAGAGTTGCTAAGCAACCAGTTACCTATTCTTTTTTTTTTTTTTCCCCCAGGTTGTGAAAGAACTAATGGCAAATACATTTGCTGTGTCCCTGGTTGCTTCTATGCTGTTTCTAAGATGGGTATAGTGGAATGTCCACTCGAGCAAAGCCACAGTCAGCATGAGTTCTGAAGCCTTAAACCCTTAAACTGTGCTCTGTGGGTCAGAAAATTTCCTTTATTAAAGTTGTTAGGACACAGGCTGCAAGCAAGAGCAAGATTTGGTAGGTGACCATATGCAGAATGTAGTTTATGACATCCTCATTCTATGTTGAGCAATCCATAGCTAAAATGGCATCCTAGAGGGAAGATCCAACTACTTTATCCCTCCACTGGCCTTGAAGGGGTTTACTAATAGAGCACTCATGGGACTATACACTGAGAGAGGAAAATTTTACTGGACACAGTACGTCATTTGTCAGCCTGTCGAAGATTTAAAATGACACAGTCCTGCCCAATTCTATTTTCTCCTTCCTAATCTAATGCCTGGTTTGTTTTTTTCCAGCAGAAATGAACACTTGTGCTGGACATAATTGCATGAAACTGGTTTGAATTATATGAGTACTGAAGTTGAAGATGAAATAATCTTAGTTTGATTTCACATTTAAACTTAATTCACATAGTCCCAAACATCTCTTCCGCTTTCCTAAGACAGAGACCACTTATGCCTTCAGATTACATCAGTTGTAGAAATGCATTTATGCTCACCATAGGGTTTTTCTTCAGTTACTTTTCCTGTAGCATCTAATGTATCAGTAGCTTTGCCCAGCAGCCCAATGGCAGTGTACTTCTGCAAAGGAATAAGAGAGACTAGTGAGTCAGGTCCTCAAGGTTGTTTGTTTTCCTTTTTTCTTGGTTTTTTTTTTTTTAAAATAAAGACTGCAACTACCAATTACTTCAAATTAGAGCAGGCAGAACACTACCTGAGTGGTCAATCCAGCAATTTTGGGGAAGCAAAAGTAAGGTTGAAAAGCAATAGAACTAAAGACAAAATAAATCCTATATTACATACACCTGTGATTTCGGTGTTAGAAACCCAAGGAAGAGAAAACATGAAATCTAGTTTTTACTAGAAATACATCAATGCCATAAAGAAAATAATAGGGTGGTAAAATCAAAGTCTCTGCGGGGTGTCATAAGTCACTGTTGAAGCGAGGCACATAGAGTACCTTTCACAGACAATTTTTCTATTCCTTTGCACATAAAAAAGAAAAGGACACAAAGACCTTTACTTGTGAAGGCAAAACATGCACTTCCAAGGCAAAGCATGACAGCAGTTCTGCAGTGAGGCACCATGGCCTGAAGCTGAAATTTTGAACATCTGGAATCTGGAAAGGACCTTGTGACCAACATAAGGAGTGCACAGCCACTAAGTAGTATCTCTGCTTGTCATAGATTCTCTGAATATTTCTGTTTCAGGGTGTTCCAGGGTTCTTCTCTAAAAAATTATTCAGCATATTTGTTTGTAGTTTGCCACAAGGAATTAACCTGCTCCCAGGATAGTAGTTCTTGTCCTTATTGCATTTCACCTGATCCCCTCCTTTTCCACATTTTCACCCTAGGAACAGCCACGCTGTGGGCACATGGCAGAATCTGCTGAAGGTGGCAGAAGGCTTCCCATGAACCAGCTGCTCCATGTCTTGTCACAAAGCTGCCAACACACAAAGACTCACTTTGTAGCATGAGTTTGGGTCAAATTTGGAGATACTGTGAAGTATTAAAAGCTGCCTATCCCATTCCACTCCATTTCCCTATGTTAAGTCCAGAGGCCTTCAAAGTAAAGCCTGGGAGAGAAAAATCACAGGGTTCCACATGCCTACTTCCCAGTGAGGTTTCAATGAACTTACCCCTAGCTGAGCTAATATAAATTTGAAGTAAGTCATAAAAGGATGTATCTTTTAGAAGCTGGTTGACCAAATTTTACTGGAACACATCCAAACAGGCATAAGCACTAACATTTTTCTCTTTGATGCAATGCATCCTTTTTCATGTACTTTCAAAGTACAAACAAGCTCAAGTAATAACAGTGTAGGCATATAAATCACACCCACAACATTGGACTACTAAGACATGCCTTGATTTTGTTCCATGTGACAACCTGCCACATCAATGTATTTCTGCAAGCAACTGCCACAAAATGGAAGCAGCAGAAATACTCAGACAAAAGGCAGCAGAGTGCAGACTTCAATATAAAAATAACCGTATTCTTCACTTATTTCATCTGCTGGTTTTGACTGGGATAGAGGTAATTTTCTTCACAGCAGCTAGCATGAGACTATGCTTCGGATTTATGATGAAAACAGTGTTGATAATACAGAGATGTTTCCATTACTGCTGAGCAGTGCCAGTACAGAGTTAAAGCCCTTTCTGCTCCTCACCCCACCCCACCAGTAGCCAGATGTGAGGGGACACAGGCAGGACAGCTGATCCCAGCTGTCACAGGGATATTCCTGACCTTATGGGATCGTGCTCAACGTGTAAAGTGGGGGTAAGAAGGAAGGGAGGACATTGAGAGTGATGATGTTTGCCTTCCCAAGTCATCATTATGCATGATAGAGCCCAGTTTTCCTGGGGATGGCTAAACACCTGCCTGCCCATGGGAACTGGGAAATGAATTCCTTGTTTGGTTTTGCTTCTGTGTGTGGCTTTTGCTTTACTTATTAAACTGTCTTTATCTCAGCCCATGAGTTTTACCTTTTTCCTGATCCTCTCCTCTGTCCCACTTCGAGGGGAGTGAGTGAAGAGCTGTGTGGTGTTTAGCTGCCTGCCAGGTTAAATCACACCACCACCTCAGGGTTACTTTTTTCCTAAATATTGCAGGCGCCTGAACCCCATGATAACTGCAAAACTAGGTATTTAAAAATAAAATTCTTCAAGTTTACATAAATTTAGAATGCCTGAAAAAAAAAGAAAGGAAGAACGGATGAAGGCTGATCCACAACAAATATTTAAATAGACTTTAAAGTACATTATCTGCTTTCAGGACCATAAAATTGACTGCTTTCTGAGACATTTAATGATCTGGTTCTGAACATTTAATAGCATAGCAAGAGACACTATTCAGCGACTATTCTAGAGGTTAATAAAAACATGTGAGCAGATCATTATGCTAACATGATGAGTGATCTTAGCAGATCAGTAAAACTCTAAATCTGAAAATTTGAAACCTCATACTCCATCTTCACATGTTTCCAAATCCACATACTCATACTACCTCAGTTTAAATCACTTTCTTCCTCTTAATTCTGGTTTAGGCTATCTTGCTTCAGGCTGTTACAGTAACATGCTATGTTTGAACTACCAGCAATATAATGTCTGGTCTGTTCATATGTAAACAGAAACTGTATGAAAAATACAATCCAAATCTCAACAACACCCCTTTAATTTCTGCAAAAAGGGCAAAAAGCTATGCAATTTGGAAAAAGAACATCCTTATAAAATTAGTCACAAATCCCCACTACTTACAGGAGCCTTTAAAGAGTCACAAAATACTCAAGCCAGCAATGCAATAATCCACAAAGAAGGCTGTAAGAGGTCAGGAAATTAAGAATTACAGTTGGTTTATGATCAGTCTCTGAAGTGCCCTTGGGTATCTACAATTATATATCATACAAGCCACTTAATAAGGTTTATTTCCCCTTTGTTAGTGTGCAGGACCTGGAGCTTGTAGAAGATACCATGAGGGTCCAGACTTAATCTATTGTTCTTCTTACTTTGTGTCAAAATTCAGCATTAACTCTCTTTAGACTCTAAGTCACCCTGCCCTGAGAAGCACCCAATGGATTCTGAGTCATTTAATAAGTCTTCAGTGACCTTTTCTCACCTGTGTTGGCAATCATTTATTTCTTCCCGTTTTATAAAATACATCTAGGGGCATTCTTCCTGTACTCTCAAATTACAAATCACTGCAAGAACACAGACAGCAACTGCTCACAACCACGCTGCCTTCAACCCACTCAACCTCAAACAAAAAAAGCAAGGTAGTAGGTGTTGCAGGCAGTGGAAAAGCCTAGCAAGTGCAGACTGTGTCAGAAAATGTCCCTATATTGGCAGCTCCTCAGAGAACACTCTGGTAATCAATAGCCCCTAGATCCTTGCCCTCTCAAGAGACCAGGACCCATATCACTTCAAGATTAAAAGCAGCACCTCAGCTTCCCTATGGGATTCCGCAATGTGCAAGTGTAGCACATTAAAAGCGCAGATTAAACATTCCCAATCACAACTTGCAAGCACTGCAGCATAGGGCATTAATTCCAACTTCTAATGGGGGTCTGCATGGTCCCAAGGCAGAGCCTCACAACTGTACAACAGCACCCTGAGGACATATAGACCTTCCCAAAACTGCCCTGCATTAGGCAATGGCTGTATCTCTCAGTGTTCAGAAAACCATTTTCTTGACACTATGGCAATTGAAAGAAAAGGCAGCAAAGTGGTCAGAAGCCCTTAAGTGCAAGCAGCTCCACCATTCACACTAGTGAGGAGACAGCCTTAAGAAGATACTTTACAGTGACAAACCACTGCACTCTGTCAATGATAATGCACAAACTGTCACACAGGCCGGGGGATGTGCTGAATGCAACCTCAACAAGACCAGACAGACAGTGAAATGCTTGGGCAGTTGTGCTTTTGCTACCATGCCCATGCCCAGCCCATAAAAACCAGCACTAGAAAAAACCCAGAATTACAGGAACCCATAAGAAACAAATTATAAACACTCTAATAAATCTCACAGACCTTGGGAAGAGAAATTTCATTTTAGAGTCACAACCACAGGGCACGGTTGAGATTCTAACAAATAACAAACCATATGTTTACAATAATATTTTCACTAAGAGAATAGCTATAATTTGCCTTTTTTATTTCACATCCAGTCTGAGAAATCCTTATACTAACATAGAAAGGGAAAGAATATCCACAAAAAGAGAGAGAATAAGACTTTATCAGTATAGATATTTAACTGTGAAAGGAGGAAGAGGAGGAGAAGGAAGAAGAATCCCCTCCTATTAGAGGGGCTGCACAGCTATTAGCTGCACAACCCACCCAGGGGGGGCTCCTGGAGGCTGAAGCCCCTGGGCTGACTGCCAGGCATGTCTGCCCCACTTATCAGTGCAAATGCCAGACAGAGCATGGAACAGAGCTTCTCAGTTTTAACTGTTAATGCATCGAGGTTTGATTTGGAAAGAAGCCAGAGACTTCAAATCTTAAATTATAACATGTTTTAAAAGCTTGCTTTTTTTTTTTCAAACATGGAGAAGCAACACTTTAGAAGAGCTAGACAGAACCACAAGTAATTATGAAACAAGGTCACTAGTAGCTGTCAGGAAGATTTTAAGATGGTTCCCACTACAAGAATTTCCCAGGCAAGCAAGCTCTCTGGAAGAGGCAGTTCATAAGAGTTCATCCAAGGATGACCCATTTTCTAATCACAGCAGCAACTGAACAGAGAAGTGTAAAAGGAAAATAAATAAATAAAGCCCACAGTCCCCTGTGCAAGAGACTGAAAGCTGGGAAAGAGAAGCCATATTCGATAGAAGCATAAAGTCAATTTATGTAAACTGATGTCTGCCTGTGGCTAACAAGTTTGAGGAAACGTAAAACAAACATAAAAAAAAAAAAAAAAAAAGACAAACAAAAAAACAAGTGCTTTAGAGAACCTGATGGAAATCAGAGCGAGCACACAGCAGGCAAGCACTGAACAGAATTAGTGCTCCTGTGCCAAACCCATTCCGGCTGCACTTACACTTTTGTAGGCTTAGGCCACTGAGATAGTGAAGAGGCCTTAAACTCTCA